GTTTTCTAGTGGGTGTGGTTTGTTTTACTTTACAGGACATCAACACATGGTGAAAAAAATATTTACATCAAGAGTTAAAATTCAAGTTCTTGTGTGTGCAATCACCTAAGTATAAGAGTAGGTTTGTTTACATATATTGTATGATTATGTTTTAAGCTCAATATGTAATAAGAGTAGGTTTGTTTACATATATTGTATGATTATGTTTTAAGCTCAATATGTAAACACAACACATGTTTGATTTTTCTCCTATTTACATATATTGTATGATTATGTTTTAAGCTCAATATGTAAACACAACACATGTTTGATTTTTCTCCTATAAATGATTTTTATCAAAACATTGTAACAATAGTTTTTTGTTTCATGTTTACATCTCTTTCATGCTTCATAATACATATATAAAGTATTCATGAAATGTAAACACAATTTCATAAGTCATAGTTCAATTTTTGTTTTCATGAAAAACATGTTTTATGAACACTTTTCAAAAATAGTGATTTTCCACGAACAAAAATTATATTTCCAAAATTTCTTTTTTAAAACATGTTCACTTACATGTTTTTAAGCTTTCCCCAAAGTTTTGTTATTTTTGGATATCATTTGCTATTTTAACATATTTTCAACAGTCAGCAAAACAGGTTCAAAACCTGAATAATATCTGTGTTAGTTTGCGGTCGACCGTGGCGGTCGACTGCCTGCAGTCCAGAGACCAAGATTGGCCTCTGAAATACTTACAGTCGACCGTGACGGTCGATCGTAGAAAGTCCAGAGAGCATCAGCTTTCTCGCGGTCGACCGCTACGGTCGACCGCCTGCTTTCCTGTTCTGTTTGCTTGTTTTCACTGTTTCACGGTCGACCGCCAATGTTTCACTGACCGTTGAGTTATAATGGCTAGTTTTTGACCTGATGTTATGAGAGTATTTTGGTCTTTTCAATGAGGTTTTGGCTGATGTCTTGAGTGGGTATAAATACCTCATTGCCTCTATCATTCTAAGAACCAAGAATTTTGTTTAAATTGAGTTTTATAAAGAGTTTAACAAGTGTTTTAAGCTTGTTTGTGGTTTGTTTCAAAAGAGGAGTTTTTACAACAAGAAGAGACATTCAATTCCAATTGAGGATATCATCCTTATCATCATTTTACAGTCCTTCTTGTTTATTGAGAAGTTTTCTAAACTCATTTTTTTATATAGCTTATTGATTCATTATTCACACAGTCCTTCTTGTTTATTGAGAAGTTTTCTAAACTCATTTTTTTATATAGCTTATTGATTCATTATTCACATTCATATCTTAGCTATATTAATTGAGTTGTAAATTTTGATTCATTATTCACATTCATATCTTAGCTATATTAATTGAGTTGTAAATTTATTATTCGCTTTTATCATACACACCTTTGTTGAGCTTATAATATCTTCATACAATATATTGGGTATTGGTGTATAATCGGGCGAGAGTGAGCTTAATTGTATTCTCATCAATTGTAGAGAATGAACTATTGCATTTGTGAGCTTTATTATGAGATTCACTTTGTATACACATTTACACCGAGAGGAGTGTGTGGTGAGGATGTAATCGATACCGAGAGGAGTGACATCGGTTGTAAAGTCTAGTGAGAGGTAGTAATCCTGAGCACTTGAGGGAGGCGATACGTGAGGACCGACACTTGAGGTTGTAGTTTGTATATGTACATTGTGAGTATTTTGTAGAGTTGTCGGTTAACTAGAAAACTGAGTGTGTAGAGAAGTTCCAGCTTCCAAACTGGATGTGTCGATAGTGGAGATCTCCTCGAGGTGAGGAGCGGAGACGTAGGTCAAGTGGTTGACCGAACTCCGTGAACATATCGTGTGTTTGAGTTTGCTTGGCGTATATTTAATTTGTAATTATTTTTTACATTCTTGTTCATATCTATCTCATATATCTCTTGCAAGAACAAATTAATCAATATAATTTAATTGGCATAAAATCAGAATTAGATTAGCATAAGACCCTAATCGGAATTGGACTAGCATGAACTGTAATAGAACTAACATGACCCATGTTAGAACTAACCTTGTAAGAACCAATTCCATTTGACGGTATTTTCCTGATCGCATATGCAATAGGCTAATGGAAATATCCCCTGATTTCCATCATATCTCATGGCGCTGAGGAGTATACCGTTGAATCGATCTTTCAGAAAGGTACTATCCAAAAATATAAGTGGTCTATAACTGTTCAAAAAATCATTTATGCAGGCGGCATAGTAGATGAATAGCTTTGAAAACCTCCCCTCATGTTGTTCAACATGAATGTAGCTACCTGAGTTTGTCTTATTAACCTCTTCTACATACCTAGACCATTGAAGATTAGGTGTTAGGATCAACATTTTTCAAATTAATATATACAGTGTAACATAAATGAAATTAGTGTGTATATTGTAGATATTATCTTCTTTTACCATCGTAATTGATCGTAGGACTCATGAGCATCACCATATAGTTGCTCTTGTGCTCTTTCTTTACCTCATCAAATCTTACTATAATCGACCCTAAGTCCATATGAACTTAGAAACTCCTTTTGTACGTCAATAGGTTGTAAATCCGATCGGACCTTTAACGTCGGTAGTACTTGGGTCGCAATGAATTGTCGAGAGGCCCTAGATTAACCTGCATTATTGCCATGCTGCCCACAAAATGTGGTTATCCATGAAGGTTTTGATTTCAAGTCTGTTCTCATTTTGTGTTGGAGAGACAAATAACATCCACGGGTAATTTTAGGCTTCCTTGAACCGACAAACGACTCGAATACGCTTCGGTTCATTCTTGACAAATAAGTACTCGAATTTTTTGGCCATGGAATAGTATAGCAAATCCAATCTTAATTCCTTCGCACTCTCAAACCGTTTTCCCTCACCGGTTAAAGCAGTGTGTCACCAAGCAGAAATCCTCTCTGATCTGCTAATCATGTCATCAATCATCAGAACATTATCTTCGGAAGTATTATTATTGGGAATCCTATCTGAAACACATGTGGGCGTCGACAACGGTGAGCCACACTATATACTTTTTGAGTTCATACTGCTGGAAGCGCTGCAAATATAAAGAACATAAACAAATAATCATAAACTATATACTTTTTGAGTTCATACTGCTGGAAGCGCTGCAAATATAAAGAACATAAACAAATAATCATAAACTAAACAATAGAAACATCAACAAATAACTAAAGAACATAAACAAATAATCATAAACTAAACAATAGAAACATCAACAAATAACACAAATAAGAAAAATACAAAAACAACAACTGTTTGTGTTAGAACTGGCATGGAATCCAATTGAACTAACAAGATTTTAATTAGAACTAACATGAAATCGTTTAGAACTAACATATTAGACCTAACACAAAATTTAAACTAGAACTAATAGTAAATCGCTTAGAACTAACAATAAGTCTATTGGAACTAACAATTAATAGATTATAGCTAACAATAAATCTATTAGAACTAACATACTTATTTAATACATTCACGTAGAACAAGAACTAACAATAAATCGATTAGAACTAACAATAGAATGTTTAGAACTAGCATGGAATTGATTAGAACTAACATACTTGACCTAAAATGAAAGTGGAAATAGAATTAACAAGAAATAGGTTAGAACTAACAAGATATCATTTGGAACTAACAAAATTGACCTCGCATAGAGCTGTAACTAGAATTCACAGCGGTTAGAACTGACATAAAATCGATTAGAGCTAACATACGCTCAAATTAGAGCTAAAATCCAATTAAACTAAACATGGAACTAGCATGAACTAACATTAATTGATTTTACAATTAACGTCGTCAATATTGGTCTTAACATAAAAAAAATCCTTGCCCCTACATGTCTTGTCGAACTTGCTTGTTGTGGACTTTTGAAGAATCCTCTGTTTCTTTGAAAGCTTGCGTGTGAACCTCCTTTAATCCTCTGTTATGGTAATGCTCCACCATAGATGACAGATCATCTTCGTTCTCAATGGAGAATTTGAAGCTTCCATTTGTTTCATCCTTGTATGACAAACTTAATGAATCTTATGGAAGATCTAACCTCTCTGACACATCAAATTTTAGATCTAGAATGGTGGTTGAAGAGTTAATCTTCATGAATACTGCTCTATCCCCCAAAGCAACAATGCAGATGATGTCCTTTTCAGCCATTATGAAGTGGAGGTAAGAGTAATGGATCTAATTTAGAACAAAGAGGAGTGATATAGAGAGTAATGGAGAGAATTTTCGTCTGAGGAAAGAGTAGTGTAGAACTAAATAGTTATTGCTCATTATAGAGGAAAAAAAAGGGAAAATTCCCCTTAATTTCTTATAACAATTTGCATTTAATGGGACGTGATTTGATATAGCGTTTGGGGACGAAGCGTTTGGGGACGAAGGAGAAGGGCAAACTCGGGTTTTTTTAAAATACAATTGCTCTTTTGTATACCGCTGATGTGGAGGGGTTTGGAAATATTAAACGTTGTTTTTTGGGGCTTATCCACGTGAGGGAAAATACAAACATTTTTCCGTTTTAAAAAATGTTAAAACTTTTTTAGAGTATATTGGTCTCAGAAATGATATTTCCATTCTTTCCCACTCGAAACAATCCCCCTCATCTGAGGTTCCCATGCGAACGAACACTGATTAGCCAAAGGCCAAACGGAAGGGTTGCTCAGTAAATAAAATAATAATAAAACGAAAGGACAAAGGTTCCCAAGCGTATCCAAAGTCTCGGACTCTTGGGCCCCTCCATGCGATGGCAAATTGCATCCAGCCATTTAAATCCAGCTGCCGGGGGTTAAAAAAAGGGAAATTTTATGCCCAAAATAGAATAAATAAATATTTATATACACAGAGGAAACTAAAGAAGGGGCAAAAAAAAAAAAAAAAATCCTTTCTCCTCATCTCTCTCAGCAATAAAATTCGATATCAATCCAAGGTACCAAAATTTTCTCTGCCCTGCTCCCTTTTATTTTAGTGTGGATCTTTCTTTAGGGTTTCTAATTTTTATTCTAAATGATTTTTTTCTCCATTTTTGCTTCTTGAATTTTGTCTTCATCATCAATTATTCAATCAAGTTTGCTGGAATGTTATAGCTTGTGTGGCGGTTGAATCATGCTCTGCAGTTTCTTCAACTCGCCCAATTATTTGGGTTTTTGTTTGGTATTGTTTGGTAGAAATTCATTTTCTTGAATTTTCTGTGTTCTGCTGCCTTATAGTATATCTACAATACGTTCAAAACCTCAAAGCTACTCCGTTAGCAAGAAAATTTTGTTTTTCTTTAATTCCTCCTTTTGTCATGGTTCATAATTAAGAAATTAATTGGATCAAGAAGTCCACAAACTAATAACAAAATTATATCACAACGAAAAATCTCCCAAGATGGCTGTTAAACTGATAAATAAGCAATGGTTTTTTAAATAAATTTTTATTAATTAAATTTTTATTAAAAAGATTTTTTTTTTGTTTTGCTAAGCAGAGTCTATATGATCTAATAATTCGTTATACACTTTCTTTTAGTGCCGGATCATAAGTAAACTGACCTAGTTTAATTATTTCATGACGAGAATAATTATTTGATAAAGGATTACTATGAATCTAGACTCATCTGTGGACTTACCGTTGAGGGAGATAACGAGTTGCTTCTTCAAGGAGGAAAGACTACAAATCTTACTGCAACTTTTGGATTTTATCTACGTTTAGAACACCGCTGAGGGTTTTGAGGGCTGTATAAGGATGACTTTTAACCTTTTCTTCAGGTAACAAGTGTCTGCAGTATTGTAGCATAAACATGGAAGATATAACGATAGATGTGCTTTGATCAGTACTTGTCTCTATCCATGAGAGGTTTCAGAGAGATAATCACCAAAAGATGGATTACATGAGAGCAGAAGAAATTTTCATAACAGACCTATTTCAAAATTTAATTCTAAAAATCGACCAAATCAACTTTTATTTACTGAAACTGACTCAGTTTCTGGCCACGTCAGCATCATGGCAAAAAACTGGGTCGGGTTAAAAAATTGAACTTCTAATTAGTCGGGGTTGTCAAGCTTTTCCATTACGAGTGGATTGAGTGTAGGCAAACCCCAAGCAAAAGTGATCGGGGTTGGGAACTCGACCAAAATGGTTGGGTTGCCAACCCCGTTTATTTAGCAACCATGTAGATTGCCAACCCCGGTCAATCTCCGTCGTCGTCGCCTGGTAGCAGCCATCACCATCATGAGCTCCCAACAACACTGGAGGGCCCCACCACTATAGTCGGTTGTCCTAGGCCTAAGCCCCGAGGAGATCGCCTTCGCTACTGACAGCGCCTTCCTCAAGTACTCCTCTTCCTCCTCATCATCGCAGCCGGCGAGAAGAGGCGGCGGTGTGGCTATCGTGTGGTTCAAAAACGACCTCAGGATTCTCGACAACGAGGCTTTGGTGAGAGCCTGGTCTTGCTCCTCTGCACTGCTCTCGGTCTACTGCGCCGATCCTCGCTGCTTCTTCGGCACCACTCATTACTTCAGCTTCCCCAAGACAGGAGGTACTAGCTAGCTACCACTTTGAGCTCTTTTTTTGTGCAGAAAACACCCTCCCTTCAAAAAAGCATGCTAGCCTTTCTTTTCTTGATAGCTTTAAGAGCCAAGTTTCTGGTAGAGTGCCTGAGCGACTTGAAGAAGAATCTTTCTTTAGCTCACACAGAATTACAGAAGGAGAAGCCAAATGAACGGGTTTGGGAACCTCGACCAAATGGTCGGGGTTCCCAACCCCGATCACTTTGGTCGGGGGTTTGGCTGAGCTAAATCCGCTCGTATTGGAAAAGCTTCTAATAAGTCGGGGTTGCTAACCCCGACTAATTTAGAAGTTCGATTTTTTTTAAACTGATCCAGTTTCTGGCCACGTCAACAGTTTCTGACCACGATGTTGACGTGGCCAGAAACTAAGTCGGTTTTAGTAAATAAAAGTTGATTGGGTCGATTTTTAGAATTAAATTTTGGAATGTGTCTATTTTGAGAATTTCTTCCATGAGAGCATAAGCCTTTCCCTTTGTATTTCGTTGATCACGAGATCTCTGAAGTATGAACCTGCCTGAATTCTAATATAATATATTATTTTTACGATGAAACACGCTTTGATGAAACACCATTCCTTAGTGAAAGAACTTTTGTTTTTTTGGTTAATGTGTTGTCCCTTTAACGACTCCCATGTTCTTTCACAATTCATGAGGTATGAAGCTATGAATGTTAATTGTCTATAGTCTATAATCCAGTCTCTCTTTCTTCCTCTCGCTCCTTCTCTTTTGTGCCCTACCTAGCACGAGAGTACTGATATCATTAGAGTATAAAACAATAAACTCCCAGTTCCCGTGATAATCTTAGGGTTTTGGTGATTTCAATATGGTATTTGAGTCACCATAATGCATTCTGTTGGATGTTGCATTTACAAAACAATTCAAACATGTAAAATCTCTTTAACTTTATGGAAGAAAACAAAACTGTACATTTAAAAAACAATTTAAACATGTAAAAACTCAAACATCTCTTTAACTTTTGTAGAAGACAATAAAACTCAACACCTCTTTAGCCTTATGCAAGGCAATAGAACCCAATATCTTTTCTTAACTTCTTAAAATCTAAAAAGAAAAAAAAAGTGAACATGAATTCCAAGAGTTGTAAGATATGTTGTAATATAAATTATGACAAGCAAAACATATAACAAAATACAAAAGGAAAGCATCATGTGAAGTTAAAACTGAAAACATCTTAGATTTGAAGCTAAAGTTGATACTTTAATACAAACTTAGACAGAGTCCTTTCAGACTTCTTTAGAAAAGGTTCAAGAGACAATAATTCTTTCTGTGGGATGATCAAATGAATAATCTCCTTTACTTTCCCCAGTATGCATTTCTCCTCTTTGTTTGCTAGTAATAGTAAAAATTCTATGAACAGAATCAACTTACCGATGTAAATTATTCACGTTGCTTATTTATGTTCCACCTAATGGAACAAGCATCGATTTATCAAGATTGTACATGAAGCCTGGTGATTGGCTAATAAACAGGATAAAAGCTTTCAATACAATACAGTAGACATATAGGAAGAAGCTACTATTGTTTGGAGCATCATTTGCAACTTAAAATTGGAGAATCTACAACATTTATTCTAGTGGATGTCCTTTATTTTGTTCAAAACATCTCAAAGAGCAATGCGGCAACCATTGATTACTGATTGAGATGACTCATTATTAATAAGTGAACAATGTAGTATATAATATGAAGTACATGTTAAATTGATCCTTAAAAAGCAGAAGAAGGTTTTTTGGGTATAGCAGAAGAACACTTTGAGATGCAAATCTTATTTGCAATCAAAACAAAAGGAGTTGACTTTCAAATCCATGTTAAGGAGATTATGATGATGACATATATCATAGTATAGGCATCTAACAGACTAAGACAAAGGATGATAGATTCCATGTCTTTAGGACACCATCTTTGTCATCTGTAAAACCTCTCGCAAATAATTAGGGAGGTAGTTTTTGTTAAGTTCACATCGACTTTATTTAAAGTTTAATACAAGATATTTTACTCTCTAAGTTTTTTGCTAGTTTTATGTGCCATAATCTATACTACGATAGTTTATACTTATTTATGTTTAGATTTCATACCCATCTGCATTTGTAAGTAAAACATTCGATATCAAAAGCATCGAAAGTTTTAGTGTAGGTTGCGGTTTTTACTCATTGAGAAATAAATCAAATATCTTTTCATTTGCTTCGGAATAAGTTAAAACTTATCTGTGACTCCGAGTTTAGCTGGATGCTTCTATTGTTTAGCTTAATGTCAGGCATGGGTTAGTAACTACACTTTGTTCCATATCATTGTATTATTTCATAGGTCCTATTTGAGAATTGTTGTGTCAGTGAGTTGTTTGTACTGGCATTTCCATGTCCTTGCCTCTTACATTTTCCATTCCTTTAAGTATGCATACTATTGAGATAGTATTTTTTTGTGCAATTTGGAGGAGCGAAATAAATGCTGAAGCATAAAATCAAAACTGGAATCGACTTAAAAGAGCAAACAAGTTACTGTTTCCAAAATTTTGAGGGATAGATAACGAGGCAAAGCCTCAAAAGAAACCCCGACACTTCGTGTTTCATTAAGATATTGAAATAGCTCGACTGAAAAGAGGACCCAGAAGGAGGCCTGGCAATGCGTAGGACGAGCTAATAATTTATTTTCCATTAAGCTTCGTCAGCCACATCATGTCCACCTTCATTTATCTTTGAAAGGGTTCTTTCCAGAAATTCACAGAAGAATTAAGTCTATGTGCCGACAGAACCCAAGGAAGTTATATTCTGAAATTTTCTTCTGCTTCTTTTATTTCTAAACTTCCTTGGGTTCTGTCGGCACATAGACTTAATTATGTGAAAATAAACAGAATTTAGTTTATCTTGACATATTATGTGAAAATATATAAACATGCTCTTTTGTGCTTGATAACTATCTTGAAAATTATGTGTGTTGTGTGCGCCTTGCTTCACTCGGGCGCGCCTCGCGCATGTACGCATAAAGAGACTTTGCGCCCCACATTGTGCCTTGCGCATTGATAACACTGTATACTTGTTGAAAAACCTATCCTTAACTACCACGAATATGAATCTTGACAAATGGAGGCACTTTGCACTTCAACAGCACGCTGGTAATGGGACACTTGCACCCTCCAAGCACCAAATGGCTGTTAAAAGACTTAATTTGATTATCCAGTGATCTACATTTCTAAAGTTACTTAAAAGTTACTTTAGTTTTGTTAGAGAAGTGGGTTAAACATACTTGTATTCGTCAACTCATTGATTATTTCTATAACTTCAACCTGTAGAGAGAAGGGTCCTCTCTGCAGGAGAATCGTAAGGAGAGTCAATGATTTTGAGAGTGAACTTTTTACTTAAGAATAAACACTTTCCCTCCGATTCTTTTGTTTTAATAAGTTTCTTGTTCTTTGATTTCCATACAGTGAATGCTATCTTTGTCCTACACACACGAGGACATAAGTTGGCACATAAACCTGTGGAAAGCACATTTGGTATCAGTGAAGTGCAAGATGTAACTTGCTCAACATTGATAGTCAGCAGCAATTAAAATAATTATGGTAGTTTATTTAACCATCAGAAGGTATTTGAAGTGTACTTTCTTAAGTACACAAGACTCAAGCAGACTGGAATATACTAGTGGTCATAATCTCATCCAGACGAGATGTAGAATAAGAGAAAATAAGCTGCTCTATCAACCAATGACCTCGTCTTCAGTTTATTTTTGGTGTTTTTAAAGTTGGTAGAACTCATTATTTCTTGAATCCATATTTAGTCACTTACCGAATCTCTTACATAGTTCTTTCTCATCATGTTTATAAAACTTATTGCCATATCTTTATGTTTTAACTAGCAAGTTCCATCACTTAACTTGCAATTTTTTTTATTACTACCTTTGAGCAGTGATAATTATTTGCTAATGTTTATTTTTGTTTACTCTTCTGACCTTGTTATTACAGTAGAACCACAAAGTTATTTCCATTATCTGTTTCTATTGTTACCTTCTGGACGATACTTTTGCGTTAATATCTTCAATATAAATTAGCATTATCCTGTTGCCGGTGGGATGTGGACTGTAACTGGACTTCTTTTCTTCTATTTGTACTTGAGTAATCCAAATGAAAAACCTTGAGGAACTAGACTTTTTGTCTTCTCTTAACTTATTTTGAAGAGAGACACCGAATTGTTGCGTCCTGACTGTCTTTAAATACTAACTTACAGTTTTGTATTATTTTTAAGAGAAGTTATTTTTTAATTGTTTCAGGGCCTGAATCTGAGTCAAAATGAGTCAGCCACATGATGGGCATCGAACCTTTTTACCTTTTGGAAATCCTTTTCGGATGATCTTCCCTAAGAGATCCTACCTGTCCCCAGAGCTTGTTGCGCTACGTACTTCTTTCGAGCAGACATTGGCTGAAAGTTTGAGGAAACTCAAGCCTAAAGATATCTCAGATATTTGTAGCTTATCATGGTTGAGGCATGCAATGAGCTTTTTGTCTGAGACCCATAATAACATAAAAAGTTTGATTACTGATCTTGAGCTCCCTGTTTCACACTGGCAAGAGAAGTGGATAGACATATACTTGGACAGCAGTATAAAATTGCTTGATATTTGCACTGCATTTAGCTCGGAGCTCTCCCGATTGGATCAAGGCCAGGTGTTGCTACAATATCTCTTGCATGCTTTAAACTCATCAAGGGATTCTTCCCAGCAGGTCAAGAAGACTGAGACCACTCTTTCTGAATGGATGCAGCAGATTGAGTCAAGAAGCCCCAAGCTAGAAGATTGTTTTTCAATCTTACAGGGTCTTGCTGGAACTGTCTATTCATCAAAAATCAAGAACTCGGACAAAGGGAAAGTACTGATGCGGGCCTTATATGGAGTTAAGGTTGTGACTGTATTTGTGTGCAGTGTCTTGACATCGGTTCTTTCTGGTTGCTCGAAACCATTGATAACATTGGTTGTGCCAAATAAGTACTTGTGGGCTGAAGCCTTCAATGACTTGCAAGCTGATGTTTTAAAGGAAAATATTAGCCACATATCCAGAGAAAAGGCAACTGTGTTGAGAGAACTGGGAGCTGTTGAAAACTGTGTGAAAAGACTGTGTGCTTTGATCAACACTGTTGATGAGAAGGAAGAAGAAATGTGGCATGATTCTGTTTCAGAATTGGCCGAGGCAGCAAAGTTGCTATCACTTGGGTTAGATGATCTCTCGAAGCAAGTGGATGACTTTTTCCGGATTGTTCTGATGGGTCGTGATGCTTTACTTAGCAACCTTAGAGTCTCTGATGACGTAACAATGCAAGAAAGCGGTGATGAGGTTGCAAGAGTATAGCATGATTATCAAGAAACTGCATGTATTTCTGATAAGTAGATATAGGAAATGACCCGGGGAGTTTTCTCAAGGAAATGACATGGGGAGATATTAATCATCTGTTATCGTTTGCCATTTTCAGTCGATTGTGCGTGTATGTTTAAGCGTGTCAAGTGTATTGACTGCAATTATTGTAGTAAATCGCATGTTTGCATCTTTTCCTGCTTTAGTAGGTGTATATGCATTATTTGTAGTTTGTTGCATCCACATTACTGTGTGTATCTGTGTGCATGCAATAATAGTCTACCACAGACAGTTGTGATTTATATATTTGCATCTCTATTCCAGCTATTGTAGCTAGTGTATGTACTCTGTGATGTTTGTTGGGCTTTTGAATTTTTTTGAATTTACTGATATCTTGAAACTGAAATGAATTTCTTACAGCACTATACTGTTTTTCTTCATATGAATATTTTTCTTTATGTTCTAGAGCTAGCTTAAGAGAAGTGGATTATTCTCTTCATGTTATGTGCTGCCAGTTGCATCTATTATGATTAAGTTGCCTGCATTGCTTTTGATACTTTCAGTTTTCATAGATTTGGAGCAAAAGCCTTCATCAATATCCTCAGGAGCCAGTCATAGAAAACACACATATTTTCTGGCTCATGTCCCTTGGGGGTCACAAGTAGGGAATAATGTGGAGTAGTTTCTGAATCTTTCCTGAAGCCTGGATTTTTTTAACGCCCTACAATTATTCAATTATTCCGAAACTAGTGAGTTAATTGGTCTTAAGGGGTCAAATGCAGAGAATGATATTAAGTTGAACTAATAATTTAAGAAGGAGAGTAAGGACTTGCACTCAAGAGGAGTTCTAATTCCCTGTAAATTTGTAATCTCAATTAATTTCTGATGTGAATTTCTCATCTTTCGTTAATAGATGGAGATGGTCATCTTCCTAAACGCAACCCGTCCGCTAGTTTCTGAATGATTATAGTTGAAATTGAATAACAAATTAAACCCCCTTTTTTTTTTAATAATGTCTTAATCCCTGTTTTAATTCATAACAACGCCATATCATTTTGAAAGCAATTATTTGGAAAATAGCCTGCTAATTTCCAAGTAAACCTTGAGAAGGTCGATCAGGACGAGTTTTCTAATTTTCAGCAAAGGAGAAGAATAAAATAGCCTAAAAGAGGAGTGACCAATAAGCCTCATGAAATTGCAACTTCGAGTCACTCACATGATACGAGGAAAATGAGGGACTCAGTTCAGAGACTTGGTCCCAATGTTAAGCTAAGTTGGTGAAATATTCCTGCTTTCAACATCACTCAAATCTAATTCCATGTGTTCACATGCATTCCGCACGCTTCCTCTGCTTGAAGCTAGCTAGTTTTCTCCACACACGCGCGCGCGCACTCTCTCTCTCTCTCTCTCTCTCTCTCAAAGCTTTCATTATTTCCCCAAAGAAAGGCCGCTAGAAGTTTTAATTTGAAAGTGACTTCTCTCTGAAAAGGAGTTACAAGCATGTCACTGAAAAATCTGGTGAGCAATGTTTGCGGAAAAAGTCGCTGTATTCATTGCTGCATTCATTACAACTTTGATCGTTACAATGAAATAAAAAGATAGTCTTTTTATAAGACCGGTACACAATGAAAACAAAAGAAATGCAACTCCTTTCAAACAAACGCAAGAGCTGTTTGTCATCTCTTGCTTGCGTGGGTCTTTGGCCTGTGACGGGGACGTTGATATCCGTGGACCACCGGGGCAATCAGATCTGTTCCGAGAAAATCGGGCAGAGCTTCGTCTATCCGCGGAGGGATATAGAAGCAGAACTTCGTCGATCCGCGTGAGATCTAGAAGCTATAAGCGTATACCTCGGCTAAAGCGAGGTAATAGCTCTTCTTAGTATTAACGCTAAAGGCTAATACTAAGGCTCGGACGGGTGATGAAGGCTCTGATCAAGACCTCTCCTCCTCTTGTTGAAGCACACGGGCACTCTTCACTGCAGCAGGGCTTCGCCAAGCTCTCCAAAAAAATCCTCCCCTCTCTCTCTAGCCTTGCTCCAAGACAAAAGAATTCCAGCCCCTTGAATGAGGACCCAAGGGGTCTATTTATAGGCCAAAAGGAGTGTGGGGGGTAGGTAGGGGGTGAGGACACCCCTAGGTGTCTCGGCCAGGCCGAGACACCCTTGGGGTGTCTCGGCCATGGCCGAGACACCCCCCATGGGGTGTCTCGGCCATGGCCGAG